GGCATATAAAGTGGTCGAATTGGAGAATGATGTCTGAACCAAAGTTGTAACCAAATGAGTTAGATTTCCAACGCATTTTGAATTGCCTCAATCGGATATCGGAATACAAAGTTATGATAAAANCATAGAAAGTGATCGAATTGGAGAATGATGTCTGAATCAAAGTTGTAGCCAGATGAGTTAGCTTTCCAACGCATTTTGAATCGCCTCAATCGGATATCGGAATACAAAGTTATGATAAAAATACTGAAAGAAGATGCAATTGCCTGTTTAAAATAAGAAATTCCGTTACATAATCCGTTAAAACAACAAATTCCGTTAGTTTTTCAGTTAAAAAAAGAAATTCCGTTACATAGCCACTTTTAATATATAGAAGAAATAATGGAAACGTTGATAAAAAAGTTTTGAATGAATGATAATAAAGTAAATAAAATTATAAATTCAATGAAATTTAAAGTAAAATTTGATCATTACTTAAACAAACAAAAGCTTTGCCAAACCAACACTAAGGGTCAGTTTGGCAAATTTCATAAATGATTTATAAACGGGAGCAACGAGAAAAACAGTAGTGGATTTCGAGAAATATGTGAATAATAATGAATAGTAATTATGAATATGTTATTTAAATTAATATTTGATTTTAACTGAATTTGCGAATCATTGATAAGTTATTTGCCAAATGGAGGCTAAATCTTTTATTGGTTTAAAGTTCAAACAATAAGAGCTTGTTTGGGAGGAATTTTTGGGGGAAGACTTGATTTTTGAATAGTGATATGATGGGAAATGTGTGATTGAAAAATAATAAGAAATTATTGATGTGATGAAAAATATTATTTTATTGAAAAATATGTGGTTGAAAATGAGAATTGATTTACTAGGGAATTTGAGAATCTCTCCCAAACACCCCATAAATATGTTATTTATTTTATTGGTCAATGAAGTATATGAGATTGAAAACTATTCATGTTTGACATGTCAATTTGTAGGTATGATTTTTTTTGTATTCTTGTGCATCAC